CCCTGGTTCGGTCAACGGCCGCCATGGCGAAGACGGTGTACACTGCCTTGTCTGCAACGCGTAGCTGACTTGAGCCAACATGGCGACCATAGCCTATGTGTCGTAGCACCATGTCTTCCTTCAAGCAGGCGATCTGAAACAAGACGTGCTGCCACCCCCTGCATGTGCATCGAAACAACTCACGCCCGCACCTGTGTCAATAACATACTTGATACCATCGACAGTCAGCGAGGTCTCGGCAATGTTTGTGGCCTTGGACAACAAGGCGGTCGTTGCCCAAACCATCTTGATAGCAGCTGCCATGCTCCTTCAGGCCAGAAGTGACTAGAATGCAACCCCTACCATACGTGTACTCTCCGCAACCCACACTTGGAATGTTCTTGTCAAATTGGCAATACTTCTTGCCATCCAGCGGCCACAATAATCTTGCGCTTGTCGCTGCTCTCAAAGATTTTGGCCTGAGAAGCGTCTTTGGCTATCATTCTGTTTGAGGGGCTTACATCCCACCACGACTGCGCATGAATTGTCAGCAAAAAAATCCTAGCAGGTCCTCGCCCTAGCAAGAGATGAAAATCAAAGTGAAGTCCTGCAGGTCGGAAGGAAGCTGGGAGTAGATGGGAAGGATGGAAACCGGCGGCACATCCTCACCAACCTGACCATGAGAGGACCCCTTGCTGTCTCAGCCATGCTTTAGACATGCGGAATCTGTGGATGCCTGGGAGATGCGGTCTGCAAGCAAGACGCAGGTCGCCTGGCGAAGTTTCGCGAACAAGGATGTTTGTAGCACTTCTCCGTGCATTTACCATTCCGGCCTCAATGTCCTCTTGCCCAGTCATGAAAATCAAGACCTCAGCAGATTCAGATGCAGGTGTGGTAGAAGCTGGCAAGTTTTGACGTCTTTTGCATCGCACATCATCGCACGTCATCGCACATCAACAGTTCTTAGGCTCCGGGCATCTCCAGGGTCTTGGCCTGGATTTGGGGAGCAGAGCTTGAGGCTGGAACTGAGGAATTGAGGAACTGGGCAAAAGGAAGCTCACCTCACCCCGTGAGCTACGCAGTCATACGCAGTCCACGTGTTTGAACGCTGAGTTTGGAGGCCAACGTGGATGGCAATCGCTTGCTGCACGGCGGCATCAACGTAGTCCTGTTCAAATATCAGAATTCAGAACTTTGGTCACACAGCATAACGACTAGCAGTCAGTCTATTAAGCTGTGTGCTGGGTTGCCTGGGCCGTTGTTCTCGCGTAGAATGTGTCCACCTGGTCTTGCTCTCGCCAAATCTCTTTCATTCATAAACTGTCAAGGCGATTTCTGACACCTGAAACACCGACACTGAGATCAGCACGGGGAAAGTCCGACCTCCAAACCAGATACACCAGCTCAGCATGCCATTTCTGGACTGCTAGTCCGGTCTGGAAGCTTCCAGCAGTTCCGCGCTCACCAAACCTCCCTTACTTGGTTTAGAATCACACCCTGCGAGATTGGTCTGATGCTTGGTGCAGGTGTGAATTCAAATCAGCAGCTTGACCGCCTGGGATGTTGAACACTGGCACGTTGCCGAAGAAACTTAGATGACAAGACCGACTGCATGTTCTTGGATTGTCGTCTCATCGCCCAGGAGTCCAATTCCCTACCAGTACTTGCAACCGGCTCAAATGTCCCGTCGTCCAAGGCGCGATGCGAACTTGTCGGCGTCCATGGTCGCTGACGTGATGATGAGCTTGAAGTCATGGCGGCGACCCACTACTGAGCGCAAGACCTGAGCACAATACTGAAGCTGTAAGCGCTTGGGGACTCTCACCCCAAACTGATCCAACGTGCTCCTCTCCCAGACGAGCTGCACTAGCTACAACAAGCCCGCAAAACTGCAGTAGCAAGCCCCTGGCTCCGAAGAGCACGTCAGTATTGAGCGAGCGTTCATGGGCCTCGTCCATGATGACAGCCTGGACAGCTGGTTGAAGGAGAAATCCGAAAGGCCATAGCTGACAGCCCAGGACTGTTCGAAATGGGGCGCTGACGCAATATCTGTCCAAGTCGGGCTCGAACAAGGTTTCTCGCAAGAGTACGCCGTCTGTCATGTACCTGACATGCGCGGCCCCCGCCTCTACATCATCTAAGTTTTAGATTCTTTCCAATGATGGAACATGCGATGGGTCACTTGATGATGGTCGACTCACTGGTGCAGTCCTGCAGTTGTGTAGCAGGGACAGCGGGTTCGGCATGGGCAAGTCAACTGAAATCATCACGCAAAGCTCTGGAAGCATGTGGTTCCTCAAAGCGGATGGAATAGCCGACCTTGCGGGTGGACATGTGCAGTTCTTGCCTCCAAGTCTCCCTAGCGAAATTCAGTGTATGTGTCCTTGCCCCCTCCAGTGAAAGACATGGTGCATAGTTGTTGTAGCTGCGCGATTTACATGACCAAGCACCATGCAACAATCTATGCGACATTGACTGTCCAAGTGATCACCTGCTGACATGCACGCAGGCCTTTGTGCCAAGTTCACAGGCCATCTCATCGGCTACACGTTTGGCCACAGACCTTCGACAACCAACGAAAGAATTACATTGAATCTGGCTCCCACGACTGACACTGGCTCTGTTTATCTCTGTTTTGCAGCGGGCCCCTGGCACTGCAGCAACACGCCGAGGCTGTGTGCACCCAATCTGGCCGTTGACAGAGTAGCCGGCCTCATGCAGGTACCTGGTCTACGAGCCCATGCATGCCTCTGACCAAGCAAAGGTAGATTTCCATGTAGTGTAGAACGTGAAAATGGACTCCGTTCTGTGCACGGCATTATGATCGCAGTTCGAGCAGGATTGTAACTTTCAGGATGTTGCTGTCGGGGGAAGCAAGTAAGGGATGGCATCCAGTTAAGTTTCAGGGGTTGAGATCCAAGCATATCTTCATTCCTAGCAAGCGTTAGTTAATATGCGGGAAACCAGATCTACCTCTCAATGATGACAGTGTCTCAAGCCCAGTGAATGGCTGTCATTGGGGCGAGGGGATGTTTAGTTGTTAGCACTTGTCAGAACCGATTACGTAGGTCACTGCGTCAGCTGCGTCGTCTTTCCAGAGCCCGTCTCACCAACGCAGACCAGGACCTTGAAGGCGTCCACTCCACAAGAAACAAGCGCGGCTAGAGGTTGTGACCTTATCAATGTTCCAGGGCTCCTGTTACTGTTCCAGAAACCTCGTTCTGGTTACCACCACGCCGCTGCCTTGCGTTTTGCATTTTTCATGCTTCCTTTTAGACCGACCCCTTTCCTGGGCTGCCAGGTGGCACTGTGCTCACGCAGGAGGTCGATGAGCTCTTCACGAACTTTGTAGACCTTCAAAGGCTTTTTTGAAGGCTGGCTGTCAGGAGCATGGGAACGAGTAAAATCACGCTGGGGATCCGGCTGGAAGGCTTTGGCGCTGCTGCTGGATGGTCCGAGTTTTTGCAAACTCAGACTGGGCCTGTGGTGCTGTAGCGTTGGTCTGCCCAGCATGCTGGACAAACCGTGTACTTCCATCGAAATGCCACTAGCCCTTTGGCGCCTCAGTCTTTTGGTTCTTCAGCGCCTGGCCATACTGATTGCTGGCCTGAGCTTGGCGGCAGCAATCCTACGGAGCATGTGGAAGTTCTCCGCTATGCACCATCCTCGCGTTGCAACATAGGTCAAGAGGGGTGCAGTTGCTATGGAAGGACAATGACATATTGACCAGCCACAATAGGGTGTGTCCCATGATGCAGGGTGTGGGTGTGTGACCGCCTTGTACTTCGAAGATGCCGCCTACTCCCGTGTTCTCAAAGCCTTGTGGTCAAACTCATCATCTGACACGTCATCATCCTTCTTGTCGTTGTCTGTCTTCCTTAGCCGGAGGACACAGTTTCTGGTACGATATTGGTAGGTGCAAACCTTAAGAACGGCAGGCTAGGTTGCGTTGAGTGTGCTGAACTCTGCCAAGATGCTTCTTGATTCCCATCACGTTGCCCATGTTCGAGCCTGCCATCTGTTGGATCGGGTGATTACAAGCTCAAGCTGAGGGCAGGCCCTGCGTTGACAGCAAGCAGTCCCCAGGACCGGGCAACAGCGCAAATAGAAAAATGGACTACAGTAGAGGAGCCTTAGGCGCGGAAAGCCGCCACAGGTTGCACAGGTTGCGTACATTTGTGCGGAGCATTTGTGGAGCGCTCCAAGCCTTGAAGCTCCCAGAATCTTTGTCGGAACCTCAAAAAACTGCAACATCGTGGAGCAGTTGCGACTCTCATAGTCTTGACATCGAGGCACGGAACAAAGCCTGAGAGTCGACCTAGGAAGTTCTCAGCCCCTGGCTTGCTCTGGTCTTGCTCCTCGCGGACCTGCCTCACCTCAGGTCACCGACATCTTCTCAAAACGGAAAATGATGTGGCAGTGCGAAGACTTCAGCTGGGGTCTGTGCCACCTTCGAGCCCTGCTTGCAGAATACAGCCATGTCAGAGGTGGGATCCTTGAGAGCGCTCCTGAAAATGTGGTGCAAGCTGGGCACGATAAAGGAGGCACTGGAAGGCACCCTGAGGATGTGGCACAGCCTCAGTCTGAGTGGTGAAGACCTTTCGACCGTCCAGAAACGGTGGCGTCGTATCCCTGACCTTGCAGCTGGGCTCAGCTGCGGTCGGGAAAGATATGCCAAGGATTGTAGCCTTGCATCTGGGCCCCGCGCAACAACGGCCACACCTTGTTTTGCAGGATCATGCCAGAATGCTCTGCTGCATCCACCCGACCCACCAAAAAATCAGGGATGTCATACATGGGCTGCGCACTGCTCCAGCTCCTAGACTTCAGAACCATCACAACACACCACTTCGCGCATGACCCTTTATGGCTTCCTTTTCACTGAGCTGAGGAGTTCGCGCTTCTCTTCGTCTTCCTTGGAGAAATCAAGGTTGACCTCCTTCCGCTCTGCCAAGCCCATTGCTCCCAGCCTCATTCCCCAAAATCGAGAAAATGCGTATCCGAAGCTTTTCACGTTGACAGATTTGTTCATCTGCACTGGGTTACTCCAAATCCGGGTTCCTGGCCGGTTGAGCTCCCAGAGCTCATTGGCCTCGTTCTTCATCTGCTGCCGTATGTTCACACGCGCGACCTCTGGTCAAGCGCGAGGAACTCTAGCCAACATCTACTGGACTGGCCCCAGCTGATGCTAACTGGCGCTTCTTCTTCTCCTCTTTCTCTGCCTCTGAGTCTGACAATGGTTGCCATCATCCAACATCACGCATGCATGCAACAAAGCCGAACCTCCTGCGCTGGGTCCATTTCATCCATGCCCTGAGCGGCTCCACCCTCTTCGGCCTGGTTCTCTGGAGGCTCAGTGTTCCACCATCAGTCTGCTACTACTATCAAACTCTCAAACAGGACAAAAACTCTGGCAGGGGTGCTCTGAGTTACATTTACCCTTTTCTGTCTTGGGACCTAATTACCTTTCTCCAGGACACACGTCCAAAGCATTGTGCTGTGCCCGAGCATGCGGCCATGTACCAGTCACGATCCAACTTGCCTTTGATCGCGTGGCCCGGGATGGGAGGGAAGGCAAAAAAGGTATCGTATTGACCGTATTGGAGTGGAGTCCACAGCGTGCAAAGTCTGAGCTGTACCATTCTCTGCGTCGTCTTGACTTGAATCCAGCTTCCAGCCTTCCTCGTACTCATCGATTTCAGCTTCTGCCTTGATTTTCTCTTCAATCCTTGGCACAGCCATTCGGGCAGCGAGCGCACTGACTCAAAGAAGAAGCCTCCATGTCGTCGGCACCAAGATGTCCCAAGTTAGGTGTTAGCACCAGACTAGCTTCACCAGATGCAGTTGCACAAGGCATGCGGATCTCTTCTTCCTCGGCTGAACGACACAGTAAGCGTCCAACTCGTTCTTGGTCATGACCTCCTCGGTGATATTGTGGTACCTCGGTAGATCTCGGTAGCTTGTGCATAGCTGGAGCTTTGGAAGGTTCCTCTGCACATCCTTTGAATTTCTCAATGTGGGCAGGAGCAAGCAGGATTCCGCTGCCATCTACCCGCCCGCCACACAGCTGGGAAGAAACAGCGCTAGATTCAAGAGGTTGTCAAGCTCTGTGGGATCCAGTACTCTGGCAGCATGCTACCATGCTGAATGAGCCATAAACATGGAACCAGTTCTTGAGCTGGGCACTGGAGATCCTTGTTGTCACGCGTTTTGACGCGAGACTTCTCCTGCGCTTCAGCCCCTTATCTATAGAGGGCTCTCTGAGGCTTTGTGCACGAAATCAGCGTTTGCACTTCATTTCTCAATGTCTGGAAAGCCGCTAAAGTCTATTAGGCGCACAAAAGCTTCGGCAAGAGAGGCTGCTTCAAGTAGATAAGCATGGCAAGACTGCTACATTTGCGCATCTTCATGCCCTCCAAGGCAAAGCTCAAAAAAACAGGCAGATCAACCTGATTCCACGTGTGCCTGCGCCTCACCGGGCTCCAGCTTCACCTCATCTTCCTCCTTGATTTTGGCCTTGTTGCCCTTGAAGAACAAAGGCCTCAGACGATAGCAAGCATATGCCTCAATCTACACAAAGCTGAGATGCATTGACATAGATAACATAGATCCAACTACTTCCGCCTCCTGGCTTCAAAGCTTCTGCTTGGCTTGGGCTCCGGCTGTCCAGCCAGGGGCCCACGCCCAGCTTCTTTTTTGCTGCTGTCGTCTGGGATGTGATCACACCAGCTCTGTGAAAGGATTACACAAACAGGCAAGGGGTAACGCGGGATAGAAGCGGACGCACGAAGCCATGCGAAGCCTTTTCACCGAATCAGAAAAGCAGCCTCTGCGGCAGCGCTGGTACATATCCCAAAACTGCACAGGGATTCCGTGCAAGTTCGCTGAGCATCTGTGTACAGTGCGAACATATCTGTTCTGCGAGCGTCAGCATGCAAGCACACTTTGTGCTTCCTGACGTGCCACACGCACCTCTCGGCAATCTTTTTGCTGCGAGACACCTTCAAAATGAAATGTACCAATTGGTAGAAAGCGAAGAGACTTGGTGCGCGGCAGCCGTGTCAACCGAACCGAGTGAAACATGGGAAGTGCTTGGTGGAAGGGGACACGTTGCAGTTCAGTGAGTCTTGCTCAACCTCCCACAAAGATTCCCCGGCTGACTTTCTATGCTGCGTGGCACGTAGTCAGTCTGCAGCTCCACGTTGTTGCAGATCTGCCTTGCAGCAGGCGGTCAGGGCGGCTGCCAATGTATGGCAAGCGCAACGTGCATCACGGTCACCAGCTCAGGCTCCAGCATTGCCATCAGTGAAACTTCATCATGCAAATCTGCGCAAAAATCACATGCCTTGCAAGCGACCCTGGATGCCTACCAACCGACATCCAGCTGCGCGTTCAAGCATTAAACGTCAAGCATCTAGAGAGGTGCTCAGCCAAACATGCACACAAGAAAGCTTGTTCTTGACTTTCGTGCTGCACGGGTCACGAAGAGAAGGCTGCCAAACTCCCTCAACGAGCTCATCAGGGCTGGGCGGGCTGGTCCTCAGTGATGGCAAAGACTGAAGTCTCAAGTGAATGTGGTGCAGCCTCAACGTACATCCTAATGTCGGCCGAGCGTCTTGGGCACCACGAATGCGTCCCGCCTGATTCGTTTCTTGCTCGTAGTGTCACGCTGTAAGGGGTTGCCAAACTTCGTCAGGCGCTGTTATCTTGGAAAAGCCCTCACCTCATGTCCTAGGCTAGAGGTGGAGAATGACATCAAAGGTTCTGATCGGCCGAATAGTTGTCTGGAGCTTGACTATGCTTCTGGTTTGGTGTCATGATTCGTAGCAAATGCTAGTGGGACCCCCTGCATGATCCCTCCTGCAATTGCATCTGCACCCCATCACTCTCACATCCAAGTGACCCATCAGCGATTAAGTTTACCCCCGCCTCGGGCAACCACCGCTTGGAACTAAGAACCAACGCGAACCGTCAGGAATCTAAAGATAGTTTGGGATGCCTGATCAGGACGGTAAGGACGCGCCTGAGCCGTAGCGCCAGCGGATGGGAGCCACTGACAAACGCATGGACCAGATAACGATTCTGAGCCTCGTCCCGCGGACACTTTTCTGCGAACCACACGCAACGCTTCACGAACTGCTGCATGACACTGCAGCCGTGTCTCAGGATCGAAGTCAGCAACACGCCCCCAATGTCCGTTGAGATGCCTGCAGGTCATTGTACAGCTCAAGCTGGATGCTGCCGTGGCATGACGGGGATCACCCTTGATTATCTACGCGTATCACAGGTTCCGGATGTTGACGCTTGCCACTCTTGAATGTGACTGGGTGGCTGCTTGAAGAGTTTCAGGCCATTGTTTGGAAGACCCTCTTTACTAAGTCTTGGCTTGGGGTTCCAAGCCCACTCCAGATCATACCCTTTGAATCAATCCCAAGACCCTCAAAAAGGTGGGAGCCCTTCAGGGTGCCTCTTTTTAATGTTCTGGGGAAAAGCCCCTGCTGTTAGCGGGTAGGGGCAGGGCCCCCTTATTAAACAGAGCGCAACACTAGTGCAGAACCTTCGATGCTGGAACGAAGTTCGCAATCTAGTGTTGTCATGAACTGGTTGGGTCCATTTAGGGGGCTGGCAGAAGTCAAGATGCGTCCCGGCTGGGGTATTACGAGAGTGCAAGTTTGCCCATGTTTGCTCGTCCAAGCTGCGGAGTATGGACCAAGCCATTGATCAGGACCTCACGACCTCTCCACGTCCAGCTAAGCTTTCGCTTGGCGCACATCCAGAACGACAAGAAAGCAGCAAAATTGCGTTGTTTGCGTACATGATGCATGCATCTCAGAAATAAGTGCCGCACCGATGACATTGCTCTCGAAATCCTTGGGGGACAGAGATGCCGTGATTAGCGCTCAAAAACCCTTCTCCAGATCTTGCTGCATGGTACAAAGCAACCAATGGAAACGTCAACGTCGCAGAGTAGCTGCTAGGCGACACTTCTACAGCCTTCCGTGTCCCACCACTACTCGCCACGTCTTGCGCAAGTAAGACTTTGCCGAGCAGCGGGAAGTGCTGACTCAGGCCGTGCACTGGGCTCAGCCTGGCTTGGAGCATCAAGAGTCCCGAGTACTGCAGTTGCTCCCGTCTATACCTAAGGCTGCTTTGGCTGTGGCTGTTCCCGCATGTTTTCACTGCTGTGTGTTCATTTTCCTAGTGCTCTCATTGCAAAGCCCCCGTTGAAAAAGGTATGCAGCTCTGGAAAGCCCAAACATGCCGCGAGATCCAAGGCAGAGGCCCTGGCACCAACGCCAATTCGGCTGCGCGACCTTTGGGATTAGAGGAGAGCTTACTGTGCTGTAGGGAATCTACTATATAGTAGTTTCCATTTTCTTTTCCATTATCCTTATATAACCCCTATATAACCCAATATAATCAAGTCATTTCATATGTCGCAGGCCCGTGGCCGCTTGGATGCTGCTCGTTGAGGGCCTGTTGGCGAGCCTTGTGCGAAGGGATTGCAACCCCTGGGAGCTATTGCGAGCTGCTCCATCAGGACATGGACATGGGCCACCTTTGCCCTGCCTGGATCGAGACTTTGCGCATCAATCTCGACTGGGCTGTTGAATCCATCCACCTTCAGATGTGATACTCGCATGAACAAAATCCAGACATTCAGTGGTCAGTTGCAGCACTAACTGTGGTACTCGTTCAAGGACCCCAAGCGGGGGTCTCAAATCTGAATTTGATCAGCCATGACTTCCGGCGAAAAGCCCCACTGTGCACCACTGATTAATCTAAGCTTCTTGGTGTCAAGCTGAGTCATGGAATTCGGAGCTGCTTCCATGCAAGAATGCGACATGCCTCCTCCCGGCGAGGTGGGAGCGGACCAGGTGGCACAGCGCCCACAGGCTGAGGCCGCGGTGCTTCGCCCTGGGCTGACCCCTGGTGATCCCTCGTGCATACATCCGAAGTGTTTACAGGGGTTGTCAGCAATGAACTTACCGACTGAGCCTGCTCCTCCTGCTCGCGCCGCCGGGCTATTGCATGTTCTCGGCGCCTCCTGACGCGGACACCCGCCCGTCGTCGGGGCTTCGTGCGGCCCTCCGCTTGCACTGGGCCTGGGGGCACGCACGGGAAACTTGAGAAAAAAAGCAGAGATAGGTAGTGGAGCACTAGCACCGAGGATGGGTAAAGTGGGCTGTCATCGCATGACAGACTTAGACACAGGATCCAAGCACAAATCCGAAAGCACATCCTCCAAGCCAGAAACTGACGGCTCGAGTCAGAGACTCGCGCGCGGCAGAAACAAGTGGCAGCTGAGGGCTTGTACCCGGTTCGACTAGATTAGCTACTGGGTATAAAAAGGGGGTTGCTTAGGAATGGTTGTTGGATCCGTTCCTGCTCTCTCTAAGCACTAGGGGCGAAGTGTACACTAGGTGCAAACCAGGGGGAATGGTTTATGACGGCTTATGGTTTGGGATTTAGGGTTGAGGTTTTGGATCAAGATCTAGCATGCAGGGTTTCGGGGTACATAATTGCTTATTGGGGAGGCGGGCTCTGCATGGAATATTGGTGCCCCACTTTAGCGAAATAAGTAATGCTTCTTACAGAAGCGTCTATATGCAGCTGGTTCCGGACCAAAACTAGCGCCTAACCGTGAGCCTCTCAAGAATGTCGCTTCGAAATCCTTTGCAGGGGCCTTTGAAGCCCTGCCTGGCACAGAACCCACAAGGCCTCAAAACAACCACCAAGCCATCCATGCCCCAGCCATCCATGCCCCATGGTCTTCACTAGTTTTCCCCACGCTACTTAGGGTTTAGGTTAGGGTCCCCTACTACCCTACAACCCCCCTCATACTACCCCTCGATGGTTCCAGATTAAAGAAAAACACCATACATGTCCCAAATCATGCACCCACCCCCACCCACCCCCGCCCCCCGACCAGCACCTTTCGCCTCCCAGCGCGCCTGGAAGAGGCATGCTTTCCTCCTCGGATGCCGAGGAAGGCTCAGAGCGCTTCGAAGTAAGCAACGGAGGCCCTGTGGGCAGCGCCTGCGTGCAGAAACAAATCCTTAAAAACAAGCTTGGAGAGGTTATGTCGGAGATGTGCTGCATGACTTTGGCTTTCAGAATTGGAATGCGGGCAGCAGAATTGGACTGCTGGCAGCCAGTACTGTTCCAGGGCATTTTCTGATCTAACGGGTCTGAAGTGAAGGCTGTTGCCTACCCAAATCGAGAAATTTTATGATCTTGGATCGCGGCTGATAATCGATAGAATCCCTCCAAGCTGCGGGGATCACTTTCTTGACAGGGGGCATATTGGAGCCCCACTCTTCTAATGACACCAAGCTCTCGGCGTTGTACGCTAGGAGTTCACAGGGCACAGATGCAGGGCCCACTGCTTTGAATGCCCACGCCACTTTTGCCATCTGCTTTGCTCTGCCTTACGGATGGAAGAGGGTGGCTCCAAGTAAACCCGTTTTTTGTGTTGGCTGTGCGCGTGAAGCTCCCTCCGTGCGCTTTTCGAGCGCAATCACATAATTCTGTATGCATTGACTGAACGGATTCTGATTACCCCCAATCCCAGAGATCCCCTTCATAGACCCAGCTGCCATAGCACCTGCCCGTGCTCAGCAGCACGCTGCGCAGCTCGAAGCCGGCGAGCTGTCAGGCGCTGGCCGGCGCGGTAGGTCTTCTTGCCTGGACGCCATGAATGGGCGGCGAGTAGTGAGCAAGAGGAATGGGTAAGGAGTGGCAAGCGCAAGAAGCATTTAGCAGCAAGTGCAGTAAGGAAGTATGCACTAATGCAGCATACTGATCAGCAGCGGTGACGGTGACGATGACGGGTGCTGGTGGTGGCGGTGTGGCGGTGGCCGTGGCAGCGGTCGGCGGTGGGGGCGTGGGGGGCGGCAGCGGCGGCGCTCATGGTGGCGGTGTCGTCCGCGGTGACAGCGGTGGCGGTGGCATGGGTAGCGCCGCTGTTGTTGGTGGTGGGTACTGTAGTGTAGGTGGGGGGGTGGCGACGGAGGCGGGAGCGGACGGCGGCGGTGGGGGTGACGGCGATGGCGGCCGTGCTGGTGCTACCAGTCGTCGTGGCACTACTGTGGTTGCAGGAGTCATACGAGGAGGAGGAGGAGGAGGAGGAGGAGGAGCAAGTGGCACGAACGGTAGAAGCAAAGACGATGATTATGTTAGGGAGTAGCAATACGGATAGAGGATAGCTGGAAGAAACATATTGACCATTTCTCCAGACCTTTCAGATCACCTCAGCAATTTGGCAATCCTGGCTACAAAATACGCAGGGGCAACATCCGTTTCTGAGAGCTAGCTGGCTCTTAAGGACTAAGTGTTGTGATTCAGGGGCCTTCGGCCTCCGCTTAAGGCTTAAGTGCTTGCAGCATCAACCACATATCAGTTTAAGTATCTTTTGGCTACCGCAGCTCAGAAAGCCTTTCCTATGGCCTCCACGTCCAGCTGGACCCATGTTCTCATCTGCAGGCCTGCGGGCCGGCCAGTTGAACACTAGAATGATCTGAAAGGGAACTTGCGAACAAGAGATGGACTTCTGTTTCCAACTTCTGAGTACAATTGAGCATTGTTTTTCCTTATAAAGTTTCTTCTACTAACATGGAGGGCCTATGCGAACTACGCGGAATGGCTGTTTNNCCTGCGGAAGAGACTACGCGGGGATACTCCTGCTCTTCAGGCGACTACGCGGACTACGCGGCACACGCCTACACAACGTTATGCGCAAGACGTCTTATGAAACATACAAACTGCGCAGACTATGCGCACAAGATTACCTACGCGTGACTACGCGAGACTACGCCCTGCAGGCCCGACGCTACGCGAGCACTCTTGCAGTTTCACGGTCATCATAGCTCTTTCATGC